CGTATACCTAAAATTTTGTAGCACACAAATTATTTTTTTCTCTTACCTAGGGGTAACTTTGCACCTCACTTATCTTGGCAGATTCACAGTTTTACACTGAAAGTTTTATTGAGATAATTGTAGATTTACATACAGTTGTAAGAAAGACTACACAGAGTTCACTTCTGTACTTTGCTGGGTTTCCTCCAGTGCTCACATTTAGTCAAATGATGGTGCACTATCCCAGCCAGGATATTGACATTGATGTAATACACTAATCTCATTCTGATTTGTCCAGTTTTGCTTGTACTCACTTGTATGTGTGATAAGTTCTCTACAGCGGTATCACCTGTGCAGGTCTGTGTATCCCCCACCACAGTCAAGATGCTGACAGTTCCAACACCACAGGATCTATCACATTGCCTTACAATAACTGCACCACTCACCCTCAGCCCCTTCACATTGTACAAATACTTTTTTTTTTGTTTGAGACAGAATCCCCCTTTGTTGCTCAGGCTGGAGTGCAGTGGCATGATCTTGGCTCACTGCAACCTTCACTTCCTGAGGTCCAGCGATTCTTGTGCCTCAGCCTCCCTGAGTAGCTGGGATTACAGGCATGCACCATCACACTAGGATAATTTTTGTATTTTTAGTTGAGATTGGGTTTCGCCATGTTGGCCAGGCTGGTCTCAAATTCCTGGCCTTAAGTGATCCACTCGCCTGGCCTCCCAAAGTGCTGGGATTACAGGCATGAGCCACTGCACACAGCCAAAAAGACTCTCAATACATAGTCCAGATTTCTTTCTGGCAAGATATAACTAATTCATACTACTCTGCCAGCATTGAGTATCATTTTAAGAATATATTACTAGGCGGCCAATATTTTCACTGTCTAGCTTTCTATTAAAGTCTATTAATACATGTATTATCAAATTTGGCATCAAAGTGTATTGCAAATATTCTCCTAGAAGAAATGAAGCAGATGTTTCTTTAATTTCTCTGCTTATCCAATACTTCAAAACATTGTTTTCAGTAAAAATCAAATCACAGACGCTGCCAAATGCAATAAACATACAGCCTTCTATCTTTAACAAAGCTGGTACTAACTTTCAGAAACATTACTCATGGGGTTGAGGCAATTACATTTTGCTTAGTAGGGTTTTCTGGCTAAGAGCAGACTAGAAGATTTTGATAAAGTTATTTCTAAAAAGATATTATCTAACTCAGAGGATACTTATGTTTTCTAAGTACACTTCAATGAACAATAATTTTATTTTCCTCAGGTAGAGGTAATCTCTTGAGAGAAGGGGCCCTCTCAATATCTCTTTCTGAGAAATGAGCATATTCCTTCTGCTTGGCACTGGTCCGGGTAACCCACGTCACCCTGGCGTGCAGGCTGACTCACTTTGTGGGGTCGGAATTATTCTTGGTCTAAAGTGAAGTCACTGTGGATCTGCTTTTCATTATAAGCCATCATTTCTGCTAAAGGTAGAGCATTGCTGAAGTTTTAGTTGAGGTGATTATAAACAGCAATATGGAGGATGAACCTGGAATAGAGCAGATAGAAACAGTGTGAGGGTAGATTGATAGATGACAGGTGGAATTAGAAGGCTCTGCCCTCAGGCTAATATAGTGTAGGAGGTACTTCAGTCATAAATACAGTTCATGATAAGTCAGTTCTCATTTTGCCTGGAAAAGTTAACACACAGGATGCATGGAAGATGCAATTTAATTGTAGCCATGTCACTGTGCACTTTTCAGATCTAGAAATCATAGAGAATATAAACAAAGAAGATCAGATTATAAAAGACCCTGTATATATATTTGCTATTTAAAACAACAATAAATGCCTATATCCTTTGCCCCAATAATCCTGCTTTGGGGAGTTTATCCTCTAGGTGTATTTGTATATGTAGACGTGAAGGTGACGTTTGTGTACAGGGTTATTCATTGCAGCATGTTTTGTCATAAGAAAGCTCTTATTTCTTAGCTCTGAACCCAAAGTATGTAAAATGATCACATGAAGTTTTGGTTGCAATTTTTAGGGTCCTGGAAGTCCTAGCTGGAGCAATCAGGCGAGAGAAAGAAATAAAAAACATCCAGATAGGAAAAGAAGAAGTCGATTTATCTCTTCACTGATAATATTACTCTATACCTAGAAAACCATAAGGACTCCACTAAAAGGCTCCTGGAACTGATAAATGACTTCAGTAAAGTTTCAGGATACAAAATCAATGAACACAAATTGGTAGAGTTTCTGTACACCAATAATGTTCAAGCTGAGAGTGAAATCAAGAATGGAACCTATTTACAATAGCCACAAAAAATGAAATACCTAGGAATGCATCTAACCAAGGAGATAAAAGATTTCTACAAGAACTGCAAAACACTGATGAAAGAAATCATAAATGACACAAACAAATGGAAAAACATCCTATGCCCATGGTTCAGAAGAATTAATATTGTTAAAATGGCCATACTGCCAAAGCAATCTATAGGGACAACACTATTTTTTTTTTTTTTTTTTGAGACGGAGTTTGGCTCTTGTTACCCAGGCTGGAGTGCAATGGCGCAATCTCGGCTCACTGCAACCTCCGCCTCCTGGGTTCAGGCAATTCTCCTGCCTCAGCCTCCTGAGTAGCTGGGATTACAGGCACGCGCCACCATGCCCAGCTAATTTTTTGTATTTTTAGTAGAGACGGGGTTTCACCATGTTGACCAGGATGGTCTCGATCTCTTGACCTCGTGATCCACCCGCCTCGGCCTCCCAAAGTGCTGGGATTACAGGCTTGAGCCACCGCGCCCGGCCGGGACAACACTATTCTTATCAAGCTGCTAACGTCATTTTTTCACATAACTAGAAAAAAACCTATGCTAAAATTCATATGGAACCAAAAAACAGTCCAAATAGCAAAAGCAATCCTAAGCAAAAAGAACAAGAGCAGAGGCATTACCTGACTTCAAACTATGTTATAAGGTTACAGTAGCCAAAACAGCATGGTATAGTACAAAAACAGACATATAGCCATTTGCAGTGGCTCATGCCTGTAATCCCAGCACTTTGGGAGGTTGAGGCAGGCAGATCACTTGAGTCCAGGAGTTAGAGACCAGCCTGGGCAACATGGCAAAACCCCGTCACTATGAAAAATACAAAAAGTTAGCTGGGTGTGGTGATGCACGTCTGTGATCCCAGCTACTCAGGAAGCTGAGGTGGGAGAATGATCTGAGCCTGGGAAGTCAAGGCTGCAGTGAACTGTGGTCACGCGACTGCACTACAGCCTAGGCAACAGGAGTGAGACCCTGTCTCAAAAAAGACAAAACAAAAAAACAGGCACATAGACCAGTGGAAAAGAAGAGAAAACCTAGAAATAAAGCTTCGCACCTACAGCCATCTGATCTTTGACAAAGTCAACAAAAATAAGCAACGAGGAAAAGACTCCCTGTACAATAAATTGTGCTGGGATAGCTGTCTAGCCATAAATAGGAGAATGAAACCTGACCCTTATTATCTTGAGATGTATTAAAGATTTCTATGTAAGACCTCAAACAATAAGAATCCTAGAAGAAAACCTGGAAAACCCCATTCTGGACATCAGCCTTGGAAAAGAATTTATGACTAAGTCCTCAAAACCAATTGCAACAAAAACAAAAATGGACAAGTAGGAGCTAATTAAAGAGCTTCTGCACAGCAAAAAAAACTATCAACAGAGTAAACAGACAACCTACAGGATGGAAGAAAATATCTGCAAACTCTGCGTTGAGCAAAGGTCTAATATCCAGATTCTATAAGGAACTTAAACAATTGAACAAGCAAAAAACAAATAACCTCACTAAAAATGTGTGAAGGACATGAACAGACACTGCTCAAAAGATGACATACAAGCAGCCAACAAACATATGAAAAAACACTCCACATTACTCATCATCAGAAAAATGCAACTCAAAACCACGATGAGATATCATGTCACACCAGTCGGACTGGCTATTACTAAAAAGTCAAAAAACAAGATGCTGGTTAGGCTGTGAAGAAAAGGAACACTTATACACTGTTGGTGGGAATGTAAATTGGTTCAGCCACTGTGGAAAGCGGTTTAATTCAACTCAGCCATCCCATTGCTGCTATATATCCAAGAGAAAATAAATCATTCTACCAAAAAGACACATGCAGTCACATGTTCACCACAGCACTATTCACAATAGCAAAGACATGGAATCAACCTAGCTACACATCAGTGGTGGACTGGATAAAGAAAATGTGGCACATAGACACCATGGAATACTACACAGTCATAAAAATGAATGAAATCATGTCCTTTGAAGCAACATGAATGCAGCTGGAGGCCATTCTCTTAAGAGAATTAACACAGGAACAGGAAAGTGGGAGCTAAACATTGGATACTCACGGACATAAAGATGGCAACAGTAGACACTGGAGATGACTAAGGGGGACAAAGCTTTCTTTATTTGTATAATGTCAACTTCTAGTGATGAAAAACTAACCACAGGTACTATGCTCAGCACCTGGGTGACAGGATCAATCATATCCCAAACCTCAGCATCACACAATATATCCATGTAACAAACCTGCATGTGTATATCCTGAATTTAAAATGGAAGTTGAAATTATAAAAATAAACAAATAAATACATTTTTAGAATCTTTCCACTAAGAGTAGATTGGATTCTTTTTTTGTTTGTTTGTTTGTTTGTTTTGTTTTGTTTTTAGAGATAGGATCTTGCCATGCTGACCAGGCTCGTCTTGAACCCTGAGCTCAAGCAATCCTCCCACCTCAGCCTCCCAATTAGCTGGGACTACAGGCATGCACCACTGCCCCCAACTTAGGTAGATTAGATTCTGATCCACTGTTCACTTTTGTCTCTTGGGCTCACACTAAGCAAAGTTCTGAGGTTAGGCAGGAGCAATTGGTTGGTTCTTGTTGAGAATCCTGCAAAGCATTAGTTAGCATCTCATCTAGGGATATGTGTGGACTGGGAGTCACGGTGTTCCTTTTTTTTTTATTTTTTTTTGTGGAATGTTTCAAGAATTTGCGTGTTATCCTTGCGCAGAGGCCATGCTAATCTTCTCTGTATCGTTCCAATTTTAGTATATGTGCTGCCAAAGCAAGCACTCACGGCATTCTTTACTCTCTTACTTTTGGAGACTGGAGAAGGGAGGTTTGGGGAATTTGTTCTTGATTAGGTGTTGTGTAAGCAGACAAAAATGAGGGACGCAGAACCGCCTGCCTCACCCTTTTCTTTTTACTCTTTATCCTAGGAGTGGAAGCAAAAATCCCAGGCTCTGCCTTCTGTAAAAGCCCCACGGAGGCATTATGACTTGGAAGGAGAGTTCAGACTCGCGTTCCTATAATTGTGAACAGACCTTTCATTTTTAAAGCAATATCTGTGCTGCATAATCTGTTTTCTAAATGTGTAATTGCTCTGATAATGTACTGAGCTTAGGGAAGATTGTTATTTCGGAGACCTAGAACTTCTTATAGTACCAGGACAGCATTCCCCTTCTAAAGCTTTCAAATACATGGAACAGAACAAAAGGGAGTGTAAGTTAAAGATAACCATGGCACTTTGAAAAGCTGAGAATGGAGGATTGCTTGAGGCCAGGAGTTCCAGACCCCCAGCCTGGGCAACATAATGAGATTTCATCTCCACAAAAAATTTTTAAAAATTAGCTAGGTGTGGTGGCATATGCCTGTAGTCCAGCTGTGTAGGAGGCTGAGGCAGGAGGATAGCTTGAGCCCAGGAGTGAAACCCTGTCTCTAAAAAAAAAAAAAAAGGCAGCCACGAGCTATCATTTGCCTCTGTGGTGAGAAGTATTTGCATAATCATAGTGTAGGTACTGATTACTGAGTTAACTAAAAATTGTGGGATAACATGTATCTTGGGAGGAAGGAGGAGTATGAGATAAATCTTCATCTGTCATAACACAGCCTAGATAACATAGAAATTCATCAATCAAGAAGGAACAATTTAAGCACAATTTTTAGTCAAGTAACTACCAAAGAAATAGCAAAGAGACTTATATGTGATTGTCTCTTTAAGTGAGGAGGTGGGAGGGAGAAAGACAAATAATTCTTGCTTAGATTATAAGCCTTCTGTTCATCACTATTTGATTCTTTTTTAAATTAGGTGCCATATTTACTTCGTTAAAAGTGAAAAAATATATCTATATCTACATATATGGAGCCAAGAGAATAAGGGTAAGTAGGATGTCTGTAATGATTATTTGAAATATCCTTGACAGTTACAACTAAAGTGATGTTTTGGGAGAAAAGGATAAAGTGAAGTACTGTCAGGTGTTGCTTAACGACTGGGATTCCTTCTGCAAAATGCACCTTTAATCGATTCTATCCTTTTGTGAACGTCATAGATTGTACTTCCACAAACCTAGATGGTATAGCTTACTACACACCTTAGCTGTACAGTATGGACTATTGTTCTAGGCTGCAAACCTGCACTGAATAATGTAGGCAACTATGATACAGTGGTAAGTGTTAGTGTATTTAAACTTATTAAAACGTAGAAAAGGTATACTACAAATAGGGTATGGGGCCCTATGAGGCCACTATCATATATATACAGTCCATCGCTGACCAAAACATCCTTATGTGGCACGTGACTATATGTGAATTCTTGGATGAAATAAAGGAATCACTGCTTTCACTAACCCTATTTGGCCTGCATTTTATGTCCTTATTTTTCTGTTGTTCACAGGTGTTTGGTACTCCAGATCAGGGGTTGGCAATCTTTTTCTGGAAAACGCGTGATAGTAAATCTTTCAGACTTTGCAGGTCACATGGTTTCTGTTGTAACTACTCAACTCTGCCATTCTTGTGTGGAGTCCACCTTAAACAATATGTAAATGAATGAGCGTGACTGCATTCCAATATAACTTTATTCACGGACGCCGAAATTTGAATTTCATACCATTTTTGTGGCTACAAAATATTCTTTTGTTTTTTTCATTCATTAACAATGTAAAACTCATTCTTAGCTCATGGACCATACAAAAACAGATGGTGGGTAGGATTTGGCCAGCGGGCCATAATTTGCAACCCCCTGCTTCAGATCTAACACATTTGTGTGGTTCCCTCCCAAGCATAGCAAAGAGCTCCAGCCATCTGCGCTGCAAAGAGGAATTTACATGGAGTAGGTAAGCATCCGTTCCCCGGCACTCGCAACTTTGGAAATTATGTCTTAAAGGACATCAAGGTCTTGGTGGTCTTTAAGGAGTTAAACTTCATGCTTCTCCTCTTCCCCTACCCTATTCTCATTTATTTTTACTGTCTAAGTGTAAGAACATGCCTATGAAGCTCTACTTCAGTGAGTATTTCATTGTTGGAAATTTCATTACCAAAGATAAGTCACAGACGTAGAGATGTGGGCTCTGAGTTGGGCCCCTTGGCATCAGAAGAAGCTTCTGAAGGGTTGGACATAAAGGATACTTCATGAATGTCAGGCCCTGTCTCCACTCACAGGGGACCAGGCCAAGTGAGTCCCAGAAGTGAGGTCCTGCCTGCCCTGAGAAGACTCCCCAGAAGACAGCACCCATAGCTTCCTTCCTTGTCACCAGTCTTTGCCATTGATGGGGAGAACACAGATCTTCCAAGTGGCTTTGTTAAGGCTTTGTTTCCTTGGATTTAACTGTGTTGCATGCTGAAGTATAAAGATGAGTGAGACTCCCCTGTCCTCAAGTCTAGGGAGAGGTATAGGTAATGTAAACAAATATTTGAAGCACATGGAATAAAAGCTCTAATATAGGTGGATCCCATGTTGGAGAGGCGGGTAGTGGTGATAGAGGGCTAGAGAGACAGGCAGAGGCCAGACCACAGAAAGCCACACATTTGTCCTGCCCAAGAACTGATATGGAAGTTGTGAAAAGCTGGTGGAAGGATTTCAAACAGGGGATTGTAGGTTGTAATCAGAGCTGGAGGATGGGCAGCTTAAGAGGCTATTGTATTAATTCAGGGGGAATAATGAGGCTGAACCTAGGTCAGTGGCAGTGGAGCCTGAGACAAGGGAACAGCAGAGAGATTTAAGAGGGAGAAGCTGAAGAGGACAATTGGGTGAAGGTTAGTCCAGGACAATCCTGTTTGGGAACTTGGGTGTCTGGGAATCACAGCAGCAGAGATTATCACTGAGATAATGATAGTGAGAGACATGGGCATGTGGGAGGTCTTAGAGGAAGTAAGGAAGAGCAGGGGAGCCTTCGGTTTCAGACGTGTTCTTTGAGGTCCCTTCGGATACCCAAGTGGAGACATCCAGTAATCAGCGAATGCCTAGGACAGAGGTCTGGGTTGGAAGCAGGGATCTGAAAGACAGCTGCAGACCAGTCAGTACACACATTGTGCTTGGAGCTGAGGTCAGCTAATGAGAGGGTGAAGAGTGAGAAGACTGGAGAAAAGATAACTCTCCAAAGACCAGCCACAGTCAGAACTTGGGGAGCCACGTGAGATGGTGTGCCTAATGCCATGAGTGTTTTTCCCAGAAAGAGAATGTGAGTGAATCAAAGTGGATGTGTCTGCACATATGTAGCTATGAAGATGTTCATTCTAGCATTGCTCATAATATTTAACAGTTGAAATAACTTACCTAACAAGTGGAATAACTTATAGTATGTCCATGTGAAGGAATGAATACTATACAGCCATTAAAATGTAAAAAAAAACCTCATAATTGATTTAGTGAAAACACTTATTATTTAGAAAATATTTAGCCACTACTTTTGTCAGACACCATGTTAGGTGGTGCTTATAACAAAATGGTGTGTGTGTGTGTGTGTATGTAACAATGGCAACAGGCTGGGTGTAGTGGCTCATGCCTATAATCCTAGCACTTTGGGATCTGCCAAGGTGGGCAGATCACTTGAGGTCAGGAGTTCAAAACGAGTCTGGCCAACACGATGAAACCCCATCTCTACTAAAAATACGAAAAATTAGTGGGGCGTGGTGGTGGGTGCCTATAATCCCAGCTACTCGGGAGGCTGAGGCAGGAGAATCACTTGAACCCAGGAGGCAGAGGTTGCAGTGAGCTAACATTGCGCCACTGCACTCCAGCCTGGGCAACAGAGCAAGTCTCTGTCTCAAACAAACAAACAAAAAAACAAATAACAGCAAATAATATCAAAATGCTTGAGCAATAGACAATACTATTTCAATATTTGCTTATTATTTAATATTTATTTAGTAGTCATTTAAGTTTTCTTATTTGCCTTCTCTTTTTTCCAAATTCTATACAATGAACTTGCATTATATTGGTAAGAAAACCCATCTAAGTAGGCAGAAAAACACCAGAGAAATACCACTGGATTTAGTAAATCATTAACCTGATAGTGCCAAAGCTCCTGGAGGAATGAATGGGATGAGTGGAAGTAGAAACCACAAGTTTAGACTTTTCCTTGAAGAAGACTGGCTACAAGAAATGCTTAAGAAGTCCTATACCTCTCTGAGTACCCCATGACCCACTCAAACAAAAATTGATTTAGTAAAGTAGATATTCCTTCCTAATGTGGCTGGGCATCATCCAACCCATTTAGGGCCTGAATATAACAAAGGTGAAAGGAGGAATTGCCTCTTTTGCTTCCTGAATGCCTGCTTAAGCTGGGACATCTCATCTCATCCCTCACACTGGGATTTACATCTTCAGTTTTCATGTCTTCAGACTCAGACTGAATTATTTCACTGGCTCTCTTGGGTTTCTGTCTTCCATATAGCAGATTATGGGACTTCTCAACCTCCATTATTGCATGAGCAATTTCTCATAATCAACTTCAATCTCTCTCTCTCTCTCTGCACACACCCACACACACACACAAATATATATATTACATGTATGTGAGTGTGCTTGCATGCATATATAATCCTGTTCTCTAGAGAACTGGTGCTAAAACAACATGATTTGATTCTTTTATCTTTTTTGTAACTTCTATAGGTATTTCCTTTGGGAAATACCAAGAATGTCTAGAATCTCTTAGGCTAATAACAACTTAATTGCATACAAAAATCCTACACCTCCCATCAAAACTAATTATAAAATTCATCAGCGTCATGACTAGCTGTTGCTGTATCCATCAAGGGCAAGACACCCACAAAACATAAGCTACTATTTGACATAG